AGGAACGTTTCTTGCGAATTTTTCATAAAAATTCGCAGAAAAAATCGCATGTAATAAGAAAAATTCTAGTAGTGATAATAAAACATCACTTTATATAAAAAAATTAGTACAATTATTGATATTCATTCACCAGATTCATTATTTACCATTTGAAACATTCCCTACAATTTTATCAATTTTTATTCCAAGATTATCACTTTCTGATCCTAAAATTTCCTTTAAATTTCAACAAAAATAATTTTCACCAACGGTTTGTTTTGCGATAACTATTAATAAAAGTGAAGATTAATCACCGAAACATGTGACCATTTATCTTCTTAGACCTAATTTTTCACACATATAATTATATGTTGCAATATCAAAGGTTACAACACGTAATGGTTTGAAGATACTTATATGCAACAATGAAGAACCATATACAAATATGACTTTGAATGTAATTTATGAAAAAGTCTTTCAAAATTTGAAATAGGTATGAGTTTAGAAAACTTAGGGGTGTATTAGATTAGGATATTTTATAGAATTTTTTTAGTTGAAAAAAGTCTTACGAATTTTAAAGGACTTTATAGAATTTTCATAACTTTTAAGACTTTGCAGGATTTTGCAAGATTTTAAATCAGAATTTTAATAGATTATGTAAAACTTTTAAGTCAAGATTTTAATAGATTCTGCAGGATTTTATAGACTTTGCACGTGGACTTTTGACAACAATAAGAGTTCAAGATTTTTTCAAATTTAAAAAGAGTTAAAGACATATATATATATATATATATATATATATATTAATATTTTAGTTATATATTATATGATAATTTTTTAACAATATTTATAAATGTAAATTACTCTAACAAATATTTTAACAATATTTCCTTTTTTAAAAAATAAGCTAATGAAGACATAAATCCTAAACCCTAAAAAATTAGATACTGCAATGTCTTATGTTAATTTTCTTTTTTTAAAATATAAAAAGTCTTAATTTCACAATATAAAAATAAAAAGAAAAATTCATAGTAAAAAAAATAAAATAATTGTTGAGTCATAAAAGGAG